AAAATTTTTTTTTTAAATTAGTGTATTTTAAGAAAAAAATAAAAGGTTAAACTTAAAGCAAGTGGAATTATAATTAAGTTGATTACAATATAAAGATTATTAAAAAATTTAAGGGTAAAATTCAATACCCTGAGGTAAAAATAATGCTTCAGTATTAGTCACAATAATAAAAGTTTTTTAAAATGTTAATTTGCTTAGAAAAACAAGGACTTTTAAATGTAATTACCAAAAGTTCAGAATTAGTCGCATAATCCAGAGGAGTTCATCAACTGAAAAAAGAACCATCACATCACACACTCCATTTAACTGGAGAGTAAATACTGCACCCAGGTACTGCTAACCTGCTCCTGTACTACAAAATTCAAGTGATGAACGTTAAGAGTCTCATGTGCCAACTTCATCTAAGAGTTCATCCATGTAGAATTCATGGATACTGGATGGAACTCATCTTCAATTAATGACAACAAAGTACCCCCAAGTAACTGAACATTTCTCATTGTTTTGTTCCTTAAACTTTTTTTTAAAAACTTAGCTATTTTTAACAGTTTATAATATGTAATATTTTACTTAGTATATTCCTAAATGATAAAATAATGCAAATTTGGGGCTAAATTAAGTTATAAATGCTTACCCAGAACCACTACCTTACTCAACTAGTTTTCATGTTTAAAAGATTAAGTGCTTTCACTCTTCATAACTATATATGTATTTTCCTAAATATTGGATATAATTTGGATAAAAAGTTCAGTTTCCAAATTAAAGTTTGTATACATACATATATATATGTATATGTCTTTCTTTGCTTGGGTAATATATGTTGGTTACATTTAAGAAAAAATAAAAAGATTAATCGAAGGAGAATTAAAGCAAAGCTCTTGGAGTAGTTTTATCTCATGCCTCAAACCAATTGTTGACTCCATTTCTTCCTTAACCACAAATTTATTTTCTTTAGATAGAAATACCCAAAGATTTGGGTTAATTCTTCTTATCCAAATTATAGAGGACATCACTCTAATAACAACATATTCATGATATTTTATAGTTTAAGTATTGATGTTCCTTGATTACATGAGCATCTAAGTTGTCCTACATAGTACAATTGTCTAGGATAAAAAGAACTAAGCAATATCTATATTTTACTAAGGACATGGATAATATTACAATGACTCCTTCTAGAGTCCTATTTTCATTTCTAATGATTAATTTTTTTAAAAAGGTAGTTTTGTTAAGCCTTTAAGGCCTGTAAAATTCCAATTTCCTAATAGGTTTGATTTCTTGTTTCAATGTTATATTTGTTATGCAAATGAATACATTCTTGTTAGAAGAAAGTTTAAAGAATAATGTACTACTGTGTAATTTCTTCTATAATGTTTTATTTATTTTTTCAAACTAAATCTGGTATGAATGAATGAATACATTCTTGTTAGAAGAAAGAAATGAATACATTCTTGTTAGAAGAAAGTTTAAAGAATAATTCATTACTGTGTAATTTCTTCTGCAATATTTTATTTTTTCAAACTAAATCTGGTATGATGCCAATATAATAGAAGAGATGAAGTCATTATCCACAGATAAGAACTACTAGAGTTAGAGCTACAAGGTCTAACTGATCCAAAGAAAACCAAATATAAGATAGCATAAATTTGTTTAAATATTCCAAACATAAATAAAACAGTTTATAGAGTACAGATAACTGTAAATACAGGGGGAAACCTAGTCAATCTCATGGTTTTTTTTTAATGTTTGCTGCCTTAGTCTGTTACATTTACTTCATTAGGCCAATCAATGCTCTAGATTATTTTATGTATAATCATCCTATTATATGTCACACACAAATGTTATGTCAGATACAGAGGTCAAAAGAAAAGATCCGAATAATGCTGGCTAATAGTTTTGATATGATCCAGGACTTTCTTTCTCATTGGTTCTATTCCTTTCTCCTGAAGACTGCTACAACTGAGCCTCATCTACATCAGATTCTAGGAATGAGCCTTCCTAACAATGGCCTGGGAATAAATAATATGTGGCCTCCACATACACAAAACGTGATGCTTGGGGGGCGGGGGAGGGGGATGATTACGACAACTACTGTGAAAGTTCCTAGAAAGACCTCCTGCATTCTGAGCTGAACTCCCTGAAAGACTGACCAACTGATATACACTTCAATGACTGGAGAGTTTGGAAGGTTGCAGATCCAGAGCCTATTCACAAATTATCTGGGGACATCTTTAACTCCTTAAATAACCATACCTTGCCTTTCTCTGTTTCTGAATTAACATTTTTGTGACTAATAAAATGTATTAACTCAATAGACGACCACCTCTCACCAATCAAAAGGCTAAGAATGTCATCAGATAGGATCGGAGACCTATATTAGAACACCTCACTGCCCCCACCCCCTCACCACCACCCCCGGCGGGCCCCAGCTTTTGCTACGACCAGCCTACTGAAAGTATCCACCAATGTAGTTGAAAAGTGTCTTGATTTTTTACTTTTCTTTGTCCTGTTACTATAAACATGGAATTGGGGTAGCCTCAATCTGTGTCCAGGTCATGGTCACTCTTGTTTGGCTCCAGAATAATCTCCCTCTTTTTTTGAGGGGGGGGGTCTTTTTGAGACAAGGTCTCCCTGTAGCCCCAGCTGTCCTGGAACTCACTATGTAGACCAGGCTGGCCTTAAACTCACAGAGATCCGCCTGCCTCTGCCTCCGGAGTGCCGGGATTAAAGGCGTGCGCCACCACACCTGGCAGAATTTATCGCCTTTGAGGTGAGAGTTACGCTTTTGCGAAGACCCTAGTGAGTTTCTCAAGACATCAATACCTGCTCTGACAGGTCAAGCAGATTCTGCTTGGATGCCAAGCTCCCTGGAGTTCCGAAGGGTCTGTCCTGGAGAAGATCTGCTTTTTGTTCATTTTTAGCCCCTCCTGTCACTTACGCGTAGGGGTGGAACTAGTCAATCAGGGCTTCCGGTGGCCCTGCCCAATCAGGCGCACCAACGGGAGGCGGGCTCTATCTGCCGCCATGTTTGGGTTCTGCACTACGAATTTAGCTCCCTGGCGGAAGGAGGTGCAGGGAGTGCTGCGCCGTGAGCTCCTGTGGGGAGCCGACCGGAGCACCAGCGAAGCCAGAAGCCGGGCCATGGTGAGCGTGGGGCGTGGGACAGGCTCTATCTGGTCGGGAGCAGCTTCCGCTGGAGCCGCCAGAGCGGGCTGTGCTGGGTCCTCCCCGAGCTGGCGGCAGCCGGACGGCGTCCTGTGCGGTCCAGGCGTCTAGGTTCCCGGCGCGGCCGCCTGTGGCGTTTCCCGCTGCAGCTGCTTCTGCGCTGGGCACTGAGCGGGAGGCTCCGCCTGCGCGGGCAGCTTCAGTGTCCGGACTGTACAGACCGCGGGATCGTGCTGTTGTGCTATGTGGACAAGTGTTAGGGGAAGTGAACAGTAGAGTCTGAAAGTTCTTAGATTTTGAGGAGCAAAGAAGAAAAAAGTTTCGATAAAGGACCAAAGCCAGGTGTTTCAGCAGACTGAATAGTGTCTATTCAGCGAGGTGGCACAAGATGAAAGAGTGTTCTCGATTTTTTGTGACTGGAAATAGAGCATACACAGCTGTGGAGTCTGAGTTGAAGGAGTGTTGAGTGAAGGTGTCCTTGGGCTGTTTTCTTGGAGCTGCTTGCTAGAGCAGAACAAAGAAGCTGTTTAAGCTGGTCGTGGCTAGCTGATAAAAGGAAGCAGGAACAGCAGAGAAACATCTTGGCAGGAAGCGTGAGTTGTCTGGCTTTTAGCAGCTGAGGCACTCCATCAGAAGCCAAGGTTGGAACACCAGGGAAGGACAGGAAGAGGGCGGGCAGCTGGGTGGGAGACAGGCAAGCTGACCAGGTAAGAGGAAGTGCGGGTGGGGAAGACAGCAGCCAGTCTGGGTAGGTTCCCTGACCCCTATGCAGCTCCTCCCTGAGGAACACGTGCAGACGCCTTTTTTGTTTCCCTAGTAAGTTCATCTAAATGGACGTTGACAGCGCTCTTCATGTTCTTACATCTAAATTAACTGAATTTGGTGTAAAAAGTTCTTCAAAATAGCCTCCAATTGTTCCAGCAAAGGGACCACTGGACCCAGGGGTGGGCAAGGGAGGAGAGATGTGGCCCAGGACTCACAGTCCGCACAGTAGAGGAAGCCCCTCGCAGCCCCCTCGGCTCTGTGCGCCCTCCACTCCGCAGTGCGTCCTTCCTTTCCACGTTTGCTTTCTCTCCTGCTGAAGTAAACCTTGACCGCTGCAGCTCCCTGCTGCTCTCTCTGGACAGTTAAGAAGCAGTCTGTGCTGTGCCTTGACAGCCCTTAAGTTATGGACCCTGGCCCCTGCGCGCTCTTTGTCCAGTAAGCTATGTTGACCTAAATCGGGTGGTGTGAAACTAAAATGTCTGGCATTTCCATCATTTTTGGAGTTGCTCAGAGGATTTTTCTGTGAATGTCCTGTGAGGATTACTGTGTGGACTTTCCTTGAAGAGGCTTCTTTGACCTCCCACTGCCATCCCTTTCATTGGGTCTCTCTCTCTCTCTCTCTCTCTCTCTCTCTCTCTCTCTCTCTCTCTCTCCTCCTATCACACTTTTTCTTACTCTAAATCAAGCTCCTCTCCAGGTTATGGGTTTTTTTCCTAAGATTTATTTTATACATACATGTGTGTATGTATGTGTGACCACACATTAGTGCCGGTGTCCACAGTCGTCAAAGGATAAAGAGATCGCCCTGGAGCTGGAATTACATAGTGTGAGTGGCCTAATATGGCTGGTGAGAATCGAACTCTGGTCATCTGTAAGAGCACTACACGCTTATAACCACTGAGTCACCTCTGTAGTCCCCTCTCCAGGTTTTAAAGAGAAGCTTTTCCTTCTTAAGGCCCCCCATCATGTTTAGCCTCTCCCATATATTGTACCATTTTCTATCTAATGTTCTTCCTCAGACCTTTCTCCTCATAAACCTCAGTCCTGAAGGGAAGTGTGTCAACTGCCCTTTTCCTTACTGACCACTGTTGCTTTACCTTTTTTTTTTTTTGTCTTTTTGAGACAGGGTCTCCCTGTAGTCCCAGCTAGCTGACCTGAACTCACTATGTGGACCAGGCTGGATCCTCCTGCGTCCGCCTCCCAAGTGCTGGGATTAAAGGTGTGCGCCACCATGCCCAGCTGCTTTACCTTCTCTTTATTGTTACATTTAACAGAGGCATGGTGGTTTTTTGAGTCCTATAGCAAGAGAATGGACTTGATCATTAAGGGGCTTGTGGGTCCCTGAGGTATATTATACTCCCATGGCTAACTCAGCTGACAAAAGTAGGATAAGGATGAGATGCCAATATGTCCACCCACTCCTATGCCACATGCACATGATGCTTACCATACAATAGGAATGGTGTCAAGTGAGTAGAACTCTTAGGTGAGAGAAAGGTCTTACTGATTATTGAGGGACATTTTGGTGTTGGCTGTGATGAAGGCCATGGAGCTTGTGTAGGTCCAGTTAGCTGATAGAGGAATGATTTCCCCATGGAAAGTGGGTACCTGGGAAGTTCTGACATGTGACCACATCTAGGCAGAAAAGGAGTCATTCTTAAACAGAGTGAATTGATATAGGAAAGGAAAGGGGGAACCAAATCCACTGCAAAGAAGGGTTTGAAGCGGCCAAGGCTGCTTCATTTTCTTACTACCAGTTAAACTCTTTGTGGGCTATTAAGACTCTGTCATTTGTTGGAGTGTAAGGGAATTTGAAGCGTTTCTGAGAATGGTATGTTCTTTCCAGGGAGAGAGTTCAGCACAAGTAGATTCTCAGATTTGAGCGAATTGAGATTTTGTGCTTGTGCCTGTGTATGTGTTCATCTGAATGCAGGTATGTGTAATGGTCTCTATGGTTTTGGATGTCAGAGGTCACCCATTGTGGAAGAGGAGGCAGAAGGATTGTGAGAGCCACAGGTGGTACATGAATATAAGGAATCAACATCTTACAGGCACCTGGGAACTTGTTCATATGAAAGTCCAACAGTGGTGACAGTATGCACAAAACCTACAGGACTCAATCAGACAAAAACCAGGATAGACCTGGGGAAATGGGCAGGAGGCCCCAACCTTAGCTGAGGAGCTATTGGCAGCTGGTGAGGGAGAGTTGATCATCTTTAAGGGAATGATGCTGGAAAAGCTGTCTAGGCTCTAGTGGATGAATTCACACCAAGGGACATCTGGGTATACAAACTTGACTCGATTTGCTTTAACATATATGACAGAATGCATAAAATTCTGTGTGCAGGCTGTGGGGATGTGAAGATATAGGAGGGGTTCTAATATGATTAAGATGTATGAAATCACAAAGTTTCAATAAAAATATACATTTTAAAAGGGGATTGGAGAGACCACTGACTCAGCGATTAAGAGCAGTGTCTGCTCTTGCAAAGGACCCTGGCTTGGTTCCCAGCACATATATGGAGGCTGACAACAATTGGTAACTAGTTTCAGGGAATCCAACACCCTCTTTTGACCTCTGTGGGCACTATTAGACACAGGTGCACTTAGATACATGTGCACAATACACTCATGTACATAAAGACAAGGGGTCCATTCCTGGTACTGGACTTTTTCTCTTCTAGCCTGTGGTGTCTGGTACTAGCGATGTCTCCCTGTTACTGGGTAACTTCTTTTAATTTTTCTATATTATATATGTTTATACTTTAAGAAGATTCTACAGTGGTAGGTTTGTTTTGTTATTGTTCTTTGAAACAAGGTCTTCCTGTAACGCCACATGACTTTTTCTAAAGGACTAGGTGTTAGTCAACCCTCCCCTGCTCCCTCCTGTGTGCTGCCCTCCCATTCCTCACCCCATTTAACCCTTCCTGCTCTGTTATTCTTCATTCTGATAGCCATTTGCTAGTTTCCTGATCTCTTTAGATTCTCCAATTGCAACATTCATATCTACAGATTCAAAGCTAGCATCCACTTACAAGAGAGACCATGAGACTTTTGTCTTTTGTAAGGTTTTGGTCACCTTACTCAAGATGATTGTTTCTGGTTCCATCCATTTAACTGAATTTTGTAATTTCTTTTTTCTTAAGAGCTCAAGGTATTAAATCTGTAAACGTTCCATACTTTCATTGTCTTTCATCAGTTAGTAGATATTTAGATTGTTTCTACTTACTGGCTATTGTGACTAGAACAGCAGTGAACATGGTTGAACAGGCATCTCTATAGTAGGATACAGAGTCCTTTGAGTAGTGCATTTTTAGCTTTTTGAGGAATCTCCACAAAAATTTCCATAGTAGCTGCACCAGTTTGCACTCCCACATCCTTGCCAGACTTTGTCATCATCTTTGTTTAGGATCTTAGCCATTCTGACTAGGGTAAGATGAAATGTCAAAGTTGTTTTAATTTACATTTCCCTGATGGTTAAAAATGTTGAATGCTAAATATTTCTCAGCTATTTGTGTTTCATCTTTGGGAACTCTGATAAAACCTTTACCCCATTTTTTTTTTACCAGATTGTTTTTTGATGTTTAATATCTTTAGTTCTTTATATGTTCTAGATATTAACCCAGTGGCAGACATAATAAGGTTTTTCCCATTCTGGAGCCAGTTGCCTCCTCATTCAAATGGTGGTTTCTTTTGCTGTACAGAAGCCGTTTTGTTTCATGAGATCCCATTTGTCAATTGTGAACTTAATGCCTGTGCTGTAGGAGTCTTGTTCAAAAAGTCCTTCCTTGAGTGTGTTAGTTCCAGTGTGTTCCCTACTTCTCTTCTATAAGATTCAGGGTATCGGGTATTATGTTGAAGTCCTTGATCCATTTGGAGTTAGGTGTGTGCATGGTGAGAGATGGGAATCTAGTTTCATTCTTCTATATGTAGCAATCCAGTTTGACCAGCACCATTTCTTGAACATGCTGTCTTTTCTCCAGTGTGTGTTTTGGGCCCCTTTGTCAAGAATCAAGTTGTTGTAACTATGTGGACTCAAACCTGGGTGCTCCCTTCTATTCCATTGGTCAATGTGTCTGTTTTGATGCTAGTGCCGTTGGTTTTTATTACTATAGCTCTGTGGTATTATTTGAGATTAGCGATGTAATCTCTCCAGCACTTCCTTTATTGTTGAAGTTTGTTTTGGCTGTCCTGGGATTTTTGTTGTCTTTCTTCCCAGTAAAAATTGAGATAATTTTTTTCAGTTTCTGTGTTTAATTTTCTTGGAATTTTAATTGGGATTGCATTGAATCTGTAGGTTGCTTTTAGGGTGGGCTAAAAAATGTTTGACCAATTATACCTTTGTCCTTTATGTTGTTAGATGTCACCAGAGCACAGAAGGATACAAATAGGGGCTCAGAGGACATGTCAGAAAAATGGCCAAAAAAAAAAAAAACAAACAAAAAAAAAAACACCAAAACTAAGAGCCTGAGTTAGGGATTGAATTTATAGGTATTTCTCTAAATTAATAATTTGTTATGAAGGGAGTAGAGATATTTATAAACCTTAGTAAACTTAGGAGGCTGTAGAGATGCCTCAGCAGTTCAGAGCACTTGCTGCTCATCTAGAGAACCAGAGTTCAGTTTCTAGCAGCCATGTGTGGGGCTCACAACTGCTTGTGACTCTAGTTCCAGAGAATCTGACATCCTCTTCTGACCCTGAGGGAACTAAAGACACATGGCATTCACTTAGAGCCAAGCACATACACATAAAGAAAAATACTGTATTTTTTTAAAGTAAACTTCGGAGGCTCAGTAATCTCCTGAAACAAGGTTCACAGTGCCTCTCATCAATATGATATATACATATAAAGATTAACAACTAAATACTAACAAATCCTGAAGATAATGACTCTGGCCTTGAAGTTCCCCAGTAGTTGTTCAGGAACCTTTGTAGATGGGGCTTTTGTGAGCCATTACACATGGTAACGGGGTTTTTCAAAGTTACAGCTGTCTTTCTGTCAGCCATAGCCCTGTGAGTAACCCCTCATCCATTCTTCTGTAAGTAACTGCAATAATTTGCTAAACTAGACTTTGATAGAATCATTTCTTTTCTTTTTTTTCTTTTTTCCTTTTTTTTTTTTTTTTTTTTTTTTTTTTTTTTTTCTTTTTTTTTTTTTTTTTTTTTTTTTTGGTGTTTTTGATACAGGGTTGCCCTGTAGCCTCAGCTGTCCTGGAACTCACTATGTAGACCAGGCTGGCCTTGAACTGCCTCCCAAGTGCTGGGATTAAAGGCGTGCGCCACCATGCCTGGCGAATCATTTCTTTTGGTGTCATATTCTGGTATGAATAGACATTGTACCATTTGCCCATGAGAAGATCTGAGTTTCAAATTTATACAAATTTGAGCTTTCCCCTGATCAGGGTATAGAGGGTGCAGGATCTATCATCAGTCCCAATTGTGTGTAGTTCAAATGAAAAGGCAGGTGTAGGTGTGACAGATCTCCCAGTTATGTGAAAGGAACTTGTCTCAACACTCTAAGCCTTGGCATCCCATTTAGAACAATGGATTTCTGCCTCATGAAAGTGAGACCCAGTTTCATTTTGGAGTCACTTACTGGATATCTGGATGAAAAGCTAGACTGATCTGGATGTTCACAAAGGCATCAGCTTTGCTTTGGTCTTGTGGAGAAGTTTCTGAGAAAGTGAAGGCCTGGCCAAGTGTGATTTTTCTCAGATCAGTCTGTATCTGGCATACTGCTGCAGTTCATTTTAGAGTGCTTATCTTATAGGGCACCTTTGGTTCTTAGGAATTAGTTTGAAGATATGTATGCATTGTGTCACAGGTCACTAAGGGTCAGGATAAAATGTTAATGGCCTGATTTTTTTTTAAGTCTTAAAATATTGTGTGCCGGGCATGGTGGCGCACGCCTTTAATCCCAGCACTTGGGAGGCAGAGGCAGATGGATCTCTGTGAGCGCAAGGCCAGCCTGGTCTACATAGTGAGTTCCAGGACAGCTGGGGCTACAGGGAGACCCTGTCTAAAAAAAGACCAAAGGGGGAAAAAATATTATTGTGTGTATAATAGGTAAATATGTGAATGTGTGCATGTCACAATTGTCAGGGAAAACCTTTTGTTCTCTCTTTAATCTTTCTGTGGGTTCTAGGGATCAAATTCAGTTCTTTTGTTGGGGGGTATTTTGGAGACAGTGTCTCCCTGTACCCCCAGTTCACCTGGAACTCGGTATGTAGACCAGGCTGGCCGCCACAGTGCTGGGATTAAAGGCGTGCACCACCATGCAAATTCAGGTCTTTAAGCTTGTGTGGTAAGTCCCTTCCCTAATGAGCCAGTTCTCTAAATTACGGAACCAACATTTTAAATGTGGCAGTTAGTTTTGGCCCTTAGTCTTTACCTTATTTGGGGGCTCGGGGGAGGTCCTTAAACGTCAGTATGTTTTTTTTCTGCTTTGACAGTTGCTAGGCATTTACTGATCCTTGTCAGTTTTTCATTCAATAAAAAATTATCTGGTTTGGTGATTCATGAAATTTTTTCTAATAGTACAAAATGAAATCATGGGTTTTGGTGACCTGCTTCCTGCCCTTCCCCATTCCAGTCCTTTTTCCCTCCCTCTTTTCTTCCTGAGATGGATGTTTTGCTACATAGCTTAGGCTGATTGGACTTTTGTGCTTATGTAAACATTCTGTGTCATTCACGGATGCAGCTGTGAATGTACACACATCAACATGATGGGCTACAGTGAGTTCTTCATGAAGCACATGTCAACTTTATACTTTATTTGCATTTGACATTACTTAAAAAAATTTAAAGCCAGGGTCATTATTTTAAAGCCAGTGCCTTTATTCCCAGCACTCAGAAGACAGAGGCAAGTTTCTGTGAGTTCAAGGCCAGCCTTCTCTACATAGTGAGTTCAAGGCCAATTGATGATACAGTGAGACCCTATCTCAAAAAGACCAAGTGTGTGTGTGTGTGTGTGTGTGTGTGTGTGTGTGTTGTTGTTGTCGTCTTGGGATTCTTTTTTAAAAACTTTATTGAGAATTTCATACATATAAGGTGTTTGATCAAATTCACACCCACTCCCTCCCCTCCAACACCACCTCCCATATTGCCCCATCACTCTTTTCTGACAACTTTGTGTACTTTCTCTCTCTCTCTCCCTCCCTCCCTTCCCCCCCCTTTTATAATGAGGCTTTTTGCTACTCTAACATTCTCCCCGTCTGAACAGGTAACCCTAAAATCTTTTAGGGATTACATAAGAGCTCCCAAGTACTTTTGACATTTTTGGCCTTTGGAACACAGTATGTTGCTAAGAGGCCCAAAGACATTTTGAGTTTTAGCCAAGAAAGTGGCTACTTTTCTTTGGGGTCTTTTTAACCCTTACTGCCTAGCCATTTCCTACCTCCTATTCTTATCACACCATCTTCTGAAGAGGTTACCCAAATTGCTGATAGGGAATCGGGACACAGACATGTCTAGCTTCTTCCATGCTAACCAGGGACTCAGGGTGAGGCAATTGGGGTACCACTTCAGTTGATCTATCTAAAAGACTCCCAAATTGCATAACTCTTATCTGTAAGGAGAAAAGGTCCTCGGCTGGTGAATAAGGGATGTGAAGGAGATGTAAAGGCCAAGAATAGTTAGCATTACAAGTTCTAGACAGGGAGTCAGAAAAAAGTCTTGTCTTAGGATCTTTAACTATTAACTTTTATTTGTTCCTTATTTGATTTCTTTGTGCAGCACGTTACCTTTATACTTTACTCACATTTCACATTACTTAAATTTAAAAGTATTGTCTTGGGATCTTTAAATATTAACTGTGTGTCTTATTTGTTATTTGATTAAATTGTGCTTGAGGGGCTGGAAATTTGGCTCAGTAGTTAAGAGCACTAGCTGCTCTTACAGAGGACCTGTGTTTGATTTTCAGCATCCACGTGGCCATTAACAATCTTCAGTAACGCAAATTCCAGGGAGTCTCATGCCCTTTTCTGAGCTCTGAGGGCATTGCACAACACAGGTGCACTTATATACATGCAGGCAATACATTCATACACATAAAATAAATTAATAAGTAATATATATATTTTTAAATGTGCTTAGTAAAATATATTTTTTTAAGTTGTACTTGAGTCAACTACTTATCGCATGTACATTATTTCTTTTGCAAGCACATAGAAAGGGTTCATTTACCCATTTAACAAGTTGTGACAGTCTGTGTGAATTTGTGCCCACCAGGGATGCTCACTGCACTCAATGCTTCTTTTCTTTGGTGATGCAGGAGCTGATCCTGTAGTTATCTCTGAGTTTTGAATAGATTAGTAGACTTTCTGAATGAGAACCATTCATAACATACCATAGAGTTTGAATGAATCATTTATACTAGGTAATTTATCATTTCTCTTCATGCCATCTTACCAATTTAAAATTTTCTCACTCCATCATATTTTAAACATGTGATCAGGAATTTCTAAGGACAAGCAGGCCCTTGCATGCTAGTTTACCTCTGTTCTATACTTGAGGGGGTCAGACCTTCTTAAGACAGGAAGTAGACATGCGCTGTAGAAAGGGAATTGGGGCAGAGTAGCAGCACATCTTGTGCCCTGTGCACAGTAGTGAGAGGAGTGTCCCTCCAGCGCTCTGTCCTTCAGAACCACTCAAAGCTTGCATTAGAACTTCTGTGTCATGGAACAAAATGTGTGGATAGCACAGAATTGTGTGAACCTCTTATCAATTGAGTCTATGGAATGTTTAGGATTCTGTGTCATTTGAGGATGTTGTCATGAACTTCACCCAGGAAGAGTGGGCTTTGCTGGATCCTTCTCAGAAAAATCTTTTCAGAGATGTGATGCTGGAAACCTGCAGGAACTTCGCTTTTATAGGTAAAAATATTGTCTTACCTTCCTTAGTATATTTGGAATATTGAAAGGGAAGAATGTTATATAAATCTGGCATGATATATACATAATATATATATATATGTATTTATATATATTATATATATTAAAGCTACAAGCTAAGTTGTTTCAGTAATTTCTAATTCATCAAAATTTTCTTCGACTTCATTTTAGGAAACAATTGTGATGATGAGACTATTAAAGACCATTTTAAAAATTCTGGAAAAAATCTAAGGTAATTTGAAAACAGAGGAAGGAAATTTTCTTTGAAGGAATTTTTAAAATATTTATATTTGTTATTTGTGTGTATGTGTGTGTGTGTTTGCAAACCTGTGTGCATGTGCGCAAGGAGGTCAGAAGTTGTTGACGCATGGAGCTGGACAAGAGGTTTTGAGCTGCCTGTCTTGGGTGCTGGCAGCCACATTCTGGTTCTCTGGAAGTGCAGCAACTGTGCTTAACAGCTGAGCCATCTCTCCATTCCCCCACTGAAGGTATTTTTATGTGAGCATTTATGAATAAATAGTCAGTAAGCACAACCTTATGCTCTTTTATCATTAGGAAATGTAACATGTACTTCAAATTAAGAATTGTATTCATTGTCTGCAGGGCATTTCACATTGAAACAGTACAGGGAACTCACGTTAACAAATGGCACTCTATATAGCCCTGTGGAAACCATATTGTAGAATTATAAATCTATTTAGTTTCTGACCTTTGAGATATGGTAAAGACATATACTTTACCTGATTTTGGGGAGTGTATGTGACCTACACTTTGAAAAAATACTAGTAAATCGACTTTTACTAATATACTTGTCATTTTTACAGAAGATCCATGTTTAAGACACTCTGTAAGTATAAAGAAGATTTTGAGGATGGCGAAACTTTCACGTGGATAGCAAATGCTGATATGAGCATGAAAATTTCTAGTGACCTAACACCATGTGAAAGCAATGTGCGTGGGACAATTTCCATGTGTCATTCACCCTTCAATAACCATCATCCCTCTCACTCTCAGTACAAACCGTACGAGCATGAGGAGTATGGAAACAAGCCTCAGAACTCTAACTCTTTCACAGGCTGTCAAAGGCATATGAAAACTCACACTGTGAATGGACCTTTTGAAAATAAGACGTGTTTAAATTATTTTGATTTCCAAGGTTTTTTGGTAATAGATCAGGAAACACATGGTACAAAATTCCTCCATCAATTCAAAGAATATAGAAAGTCCTCTGCTGATGGCAGTTCACTTCACACATCTAGAGGAGCTCAAACTGTAAGAAAGCATTATCAATGTAATGTATGTGGGAAACAGCTGAGTTCTTCTACTTCTCTTCAAGGACATGAAAGAATTCATAGTTGTGAAAAACCCCATGAATGTAAACACAGTGATAACAACTCTAGACAGTACAGTTTCCTTCAAGTATATGAAAAAGATCTTACTGGAGAAAAACCCTATGCATGTAAAGAATGTGGTAAGGCCTTTACACTATACAGATACCTTCAAGTACATGAAAAAAAGCATACTGGAGAAAAAACATATGAATGTAAAGAATGTGGTAAACTCTTGAGATGTCACAGTCATCTTCAAAGCCATGAAAAAACACATACTGGAGAGAAACCTTACATATGTAAACAATGTGGTAAGGCCTTTACATTTTCTAGATCCTTACATTTACATGAAAGAAGACATAATGGAGAAAGACAGTATGAATGTAAACAATGTGGTAAAACCTTTTTATGCAAGAGTGATCTTAAAAGACATGAAAAAACCCATACTGGTGAGAAACCCTATGAATGTAAACAATGTGGTAAAGCCTTTATATGTAATAGTGATCTTAAAAGACATGAAAAAACGCATACTGGAGAGAAACCCCATGAATGTAAACAGTGTGGTAAAGCCTTTATATGTAATAGTGATCTTAAAAGACACGAAAAAACGCATTCTGGAGAGAAACCATATGAATGTAAACAATGTGGTAGAACCTTTATATGTAATAGTGATCTTAAAAGACATGAAAAAACGCATTCTGGAGAGAAACCCTATGAATGTAAACAATGTGGTAAAGCCTTTATACGTAATAGTGATCTTAAAAAACATGAAAAAACGCATACTGGAGAGAAACCCTATGCATGTAAACAGTGTGGTAAAGCCTTTAGATGTAATAGTCATCTTCAAAGGCATGAAAAAACACACACTGGAGTGAAGCCCTATGCATGTAAACAATGTGGTAAAGCCTTTGGATGTCACAGTTATCTTCTGTTACATGAAAAAATTCATACTGGAGAAAAACCATATGAATGTAAGCAATGTGGTAAAGCCTTTAGATATCACAGTTATCTTCACTTACATGAAAAAATCCACACTGGAGAAAAACCATATGAATGTAAACAATGTGGTAAAGCTTTTAGATGGCATAGTTACCTTCAGTTACATGAAAAAATTCATACTGGAGAAAAACTATATGAATGTAAACAATGTGGTAAAGCCTTTACATGGCACAGTTACCTTCAGATACATGAAAAAATTCATACTGGAGAAAAAGCATATGTGTGTAAACAATGCGGTAAAACCTTTAGCGGTAATCAAGGTCTTCAAAAACATAAAAAGACTCACTGGAGAGAAAACCTATGCATGTAAACCATGTGAAAAAGCCTTTAGACAGTCCAGTCACCTTTATGTACATGAAAAAGTTCTTACTGGAGAACAATCATAAGACTGTACATTGTGGTAAAACCTTTAGATGTCAGAGTTCTATTCAGTTACATGAAAAAGTTCATACTGAAGAAAAAAAGCTGTGCATGTAAACAATGTAGTAAAGACTTCAGATGTCACAGTGATGTTCAAAGACATGAGAAGTTCATACTAGAAAAAACCCTGTGAATAGAACTTTGTGGAAAAATCTTTAGACATCACAGTCTTTACGTGAAAAAAATCATATTTTAGCAAACTTATGAATGCAAACAGGGTGGTAAAACCTTTAGATGTCATAGTTACCTTCCTTTATGTGAAAGTTCATGTTAGACCAAAACACAATGGGTGAAAGCGATATAAGTCCTACATATGGTACATTTATCTTAAATTACATGAAAAAATTCATACTGGAGAAAAATCTTGTTACAAAGAGTGTGGAAACCTTTACATTTCATAGTTCCTTGCAATTACAAGAGGCTAAGAACTCTCAAACCTCTAAGAATAAAGAACAGGGGCAAGGATTGAGCTGCGAGAGTTCCCAGTAGCAACAGTGTTGAGTGAGGTTTTTTCTGGAGATACCTGAGCAAATGTCTAATCACTGGAGACAGGAAACTAATGGCACAAAAAAGTGATTCTACCAAAGTCTGATTAGGCGATCCAAGGATTTTACTGGGGTTACTTCCAGGAACATGGACAAGCACAGACAGCTGCATCACCAAAAAGCCCATCCAGCCTAAGTGATTTCTGGACAAATGGCAGGCAACTGGTTAGTTGGTGAATTTCTTGTTTATGGTTTACTCCGTTTCAGAGGGACTGTGTCATTTCAGAGAAAATTGCAGCACAACAGTCCACCCCTTCCTCTGGTTCTTTTTTTTTTTTTTAATGCTTTTAGATTGTTAGGGTTGTGGGGGTGTAGATATAAATGCCCATCTATCTATGGCTAACATTGGGCCACTATTACAGAGTAATACTCACTTTTTCTTAGGATCTTCAACATTGGTTCTGAGTCTTTGTGGTACACCATCCATTGTGAAAGGAAATTTCCTTGCCTGATGGATTGAAGCTGACAATAGCAGTGATCTATTAGGCATGAACTGAAATGTTAGGCAATTTGAGAGGCACATCACATCTACCAAACAAAAAATAGCAATTGCTTCCCCACTGCAGCCTGTGACCACTTTAGCCACAAGTTTTGTTCTTGGCTTATAATATCACATGCAAATTTTCTCACGTGGAGTGGGCTATAAATCCAATCTGAAATCTGCTTGTTGTACTCAAATAGTAGTTGTGCCACTATTGCACCAGAGGCATATTCTGCCTGTCCTGTTGGTACTGGAGAACACAGATGATCAGGACCGTTGTGACAATTCTCCCTCAGCAATATGCATTTCACCTGCGTTATGCAAGCCAGCCAGTGTGGAGGAAGCTTCCACCTTATTCCAGCATCATTTCTCCATGTCCTGCAAACCGAGCATGTGATGTCTTCTGCAGCAGGATCTTCCCATTTAGTCTCGCATGTAACCAACAGTGGTGGTGATAGCCTGCATGGTTTGTGAGACAGATACACACCTGTCTCTGCCTCCTATGGGCTGGTGCTAAAGGCCTGTTCCAACATACCTTGCTACTAATAACCCATTAAAGAAAACCTAGCCTTGTAGGTTTATGAGGTAGGGAGATGTACATTCCTCGCTTGCCTGAAAATGCTTGTTAACAGGCCTGTGGCAGTGTCCACACTTGTGAGGGTATATTTGCATCCGACACTGATAGAGGTGGTATGTTTGCCAGTACATAAGGGATTAATTGGCTTATCTATGTGTACTATCATAACATCTAGGTGTAGTTTTGATTGTGACAGGAAAAAGATATCTGAGGAGAAAATGTTTCCTGCCTTCGTATATTTTCTTTCTGCGGAGTGTGCCTACTCCTGTGGCTGCTGCTGCAATCCTCCAGTGACTACAGTTCCATTGGCCTTCCAACATGGACTAAATAGCAGCAACTCTAGGAAATTTCCAGATTTTCTCTGCCGAAATGGAACTGCTGAGGCACCCAGCTGTGTGGACTGAGCAGCTTCTGGGTTGTCTGCCTCTCAATTCTGCATGTAGATAATGGTGGACTAACTGTGAGCTTTCATGGCACATACACTTCTGTTGGTTCTGTTCCTCTCCAGCATTCTCTGGTCCATACTTTCTGGTAACATGGTGGGTTGTAGACAAACAGAATTGATGGATGGTTATTGTCCATTGGCCGAGTTCTACAGAATACACAGTTTTCTGCATTTGATATGGTGCACCACATACAGTGCACCAGACAATTAAATTTCTTTTAACAAAAACAAATCCTAAGTGTTTGTTTTGGATTTTGGTTTTGGAGTTTCTGAGACAGGGATTCCCTGTACCCCAGCTGGCCTGGAACTCACAAAGATCTGCCTGCCTCTTCCTCCCAAGTGCTGCAATCAAAAGCGTGCACCACCACACCTAGCTTTAAGTGTCTGTTTTAAAGGTACTTAAATTTCAAACAAACCGGTTTAATTTTATTGTGAAAATAAAAATATCTTCAGGAGTTAATGTGTTTTGCTTGTATTCACAGATGACACATAAAATTTATACTTGGGGTATTTTGCCTGCATGGAACTCAACATGTTGGATCCCCTGGAAGTGGATGATTAAATTGAAAAGATTAATGGATGGATTATTGCAAAATGGAAACAGGAAAAAGTGATGACAAAAACCCAAAAAACTTCAGACTGTTACTGCAGGTTTTGGAAGTTACAGAGAAGGTTTTAAGAGTTAAAAGGGAAGATTGCAGTATGTAAAGGATCATATTCATCCTAGGAAAGAGGGACTATTACTAGGTGCTTCCTTCACAAATTGATCTACTCTAGGCATCACTTTAAAATTTTGTGTCTTGGAGTTTTTGGCAAAATAAGGCAATCCAAAACACCCAGCAAAGATAAGTACAACAACAAGCCCAGTTGATAATTGAGTCTTCAAAATTATCTTCCTTGACTAATCAGTATCTACTAGGTCACAGAAACACAAAGGTAAAGAGGGGGAGTGATTACCATAGATGAATATAAACCAGTGGAAAAGAAGTAATGTTAATGGGATTCTCAAAGGAAAATAGGCTCCACCTCACTTAACCCCCAAAATAATTGAAGTCACTGGTGAGGGGCAGTGTCTAGATTCCCTCATGTGAGAATGGGACCCCATTCTAGTGATGGCTTGAAGGATAATGCTGGACAAGATTTTGTGATGGGATCCCAATTCAAAATGTTGCAAGTGACCAGCAAAGCATCTGAATATCTCTTGATAGCATAGGTAAAATGATTGATTTTCTTTCCATATTGAGGCTTTGTTCTCTGTCTTAATAATTAACTAGTTACTTTTATATTCAGGTATGTGTAGCATGCACTGTTGGGGAAACTGAAGCCTAATATCTGTAATTTTCAGTTGTAGTCCCCCAAATTCCAGAATTAGTAAAACCCTTTTCCCTTATATGTAATAAAACGATAAGATCTAGCAGTGAGAGGTGTCCCCTAAAGGTTCCAGCTGGACTTTATAACTGAATATCCAGAATGTGTCTTAGCTTCAACACCTCACAGGAGTTTATGAGACTACAGTCGTGGCTCTGAAACCTGTTTCTGATGATTAAATGATAGTCTCTCTTACAGAAAATCAGAGAAGAAATGGACCACACAAAGAAAATAAAACTAGGACATTGAATATGATCCTGTTAACCACTCCAATGACTTGTATGTATCCTTTAAAAAAATGTGACAGCCTACCTGCTATTGGTCTATAAAAATGCAGTACATAAACATAAGCCATTGACTGCCATTATATAATCCTGTGCAAAGCACAGATTCCAATAAAAGGATAATAAAATTTTACTAAATTCTTCCCACTAAACAATATAAGTATTTTCTGACATTGGCTTGCACGTCTTTTGGGTCACCAAAGCACTCACCCATGTCTAAAACAATGCAGTGTTATTCACAAGAGTAAAATCTGCCCTTTCTGGGTTTTTACAATGTCAAGGACATCCTAAAAACATTTGGGCTCCAGAGATGGCACAGTAGGAAAAGAGCTCATGACGTGTGTTTGAAAATGTGAGGGTATGAATCTACATAAACTCAGACACAGCAGTGCACCACCTAATCCCAATATACCCTTGATGCTGTAGGAGGTAGAAGCAGAAGTATACCTGAAAGCTCATAGGCTATATAGCCTGCTTTACACTGCAGAAATCCATAGACCCTGGCATAAACAGGTAGGAGGTGAGGAATGACACCTGAGGTTGTCCTCTGACCAACAAGCACCTTGACACATGCATACCACACAGACGTGAATGAGTGCATACACACAAAAATACATGGTTTCTGAAATTGACATTCAGTTATAAATACTTATTGGTCAAATGTTACAAAATAGTGCATGCTAAAATTTCTATTTGATTATTATGGAATTCTTTTCTAGGAGTGTTCTTACTGTACATGTAATGGGTGTGAGATGTTTGCTAAGGTTTTGCATCAATTTTCTGATGTCAGAGATTTTCATTTTAGGATTACTTTTCACTGTGAAACTTACAGAAGATATATTTGCCATAAACAGTGACATTCAAAATGTGTGTAAGCTTACTCTAATTTATGGGTATGGGATTAATATTTCCCAAAACTAACTCGAAATAAAAAAAAATGTCCATTATATTGGCTGCATTAGGCATATCATTAACATCTTTAGATACTCTGGGCAGTGATTGCAACTGGTCAGATGGTAAAGCCATGAGGTCATACAGTTCTGAGGCCAGACACTCCAATTTTCACTACAGAGATTCACCTGTTTAAGTCATTTCAAATTAAGGGGCATCATTTCCCAACCAAGTGCTAGAAACTCTTGGGTACCCATGCCCAGCTTGTTGAGGTGGTTGCTCACAGAGACACATGGTAGGATCCAGTGAGTTCTAAGGGAGCTCTCGTCTTTAAGGACTTGTATACTCTTTGTCGATATATTTCCTGCTTTCTTTTAGAATTCCAAGGGAAGAACCTTCTTAATCCTGTTCAAATCTCACTTAGCTGTATCCTTAACCATTGAGGACGAGGAATGAGACCTTGACAGTTTAACCATGACATCTTAAAGAGGTAGTGCCACAATGGAATCAGAACAGAAGTGATGGCCACCTAATTACAACAATAATTACAACAATTACACACTAATTACAACAATATGTTTCAATAAAGATTTATTTTCAGAAAGATAAAACTAGCAGTTGGAGGTACCATTTATACAGGGCTTCTTATCCTACTTACAAAACGCTTTTCTTTCCAAATGAGCCAGGGAAAGCCAAAAGGAAGGAACCTCCGCCCTGAACTGTGACACTACATAATCTATTCCTGATGCTCACATGTCTGTGGGGGTCACAGCCAATGTTCCTGCTCCCTACTGTTCACCCACCAATAATGTTATCAAATGGGATATGAATTTTGTTACAGAGCTCTCCCTACTTGACAAGAAATATGTGTACCTGATGTTACCACCAATGCATTGGCATATGACATTTTTCTGTTACTACAGAAAGGGAGGAAAAGTCAGGCTTCTGTACTTGGGCATATGTGGTTTGA